TCGACAATTTTTTTCGGTGTCTGAATCGCATTTATGTTTGAATGATCCTCGAAATTCGGTAAAGGGAATGGACACAGACCTATCTGTTTGAGTTACAGTTGCTGCTTTTACGTAAGAGTCAACGTTTTCGTTACCCTGTATGCCTGTATGTGATGGTATCTAGAACACTTCTATATATATTGCTACCGTTTGTACATTTTTTCATAAGATAATTATATTTCCTTTTGATTTCCAAAATACAAAAATTAGTTCTTATATCTATTTTTCGATTTTGAAGACAGAGAAGCGCGCTGAGAGAAAAAATATGAACTTAATATCATTTTTAGACCGTTATGTATCTATATTAAAAACTAAACGACTTAGAACGAAATACTTTTCATCACCAGAAAGAGTGAAAAATTTGACACAGCAAGCATGTATAATGTCATGTTTTAAAAAAGTGGACTTAAAACACTCAGGCACTGGGTCCAAATATTTATTTCCGAATTAATTTGAACATTTTTTGTCCCAATAATGATATCAAACTGACCACAGTATATTGTGCGTCAGTGAGCATCCTCGACCATCACTGAGCTACTTGAAGCAGTTCACAAATCCGTTTAATGCAGACACCTTCTGTCGTCGATTAGCGAGCTTATTACATCTTCCCTAGGTTAACGGACTTCGATCCTCCAAAGGGACGGTGTCTTCACGTCTGAGTGCCTCCCGAGACAGTTTTTTTTTCTGCCCTCCCCCCTTAGTCGGCATTCTTTATCCTGAAATCTCCTGCACTCGCCGGGGTAACACCTTGCAGTTCCTTTCGTCATGCGCCCTGGTTGTTCGTTGGCGCAGGGCACGCGCCGCCGGGTCGGGCCGGGCCCCTCGGCGTGGCTAGATCCCGCTGCAAGATGGATATCTCTAATTGTCTCAAGGCGATTCCCCCCCGAGCTGCGACCGTTGCATTCTGCTAATTTTTCTCTCTTTCAACGAAAACCTTCGTTGATTTCGCATTATCAGTGTGAAAATATAGGTAAGTATGCTTCGAGACTTAAAGTGGCACATGAACATTCTTGATAATTATAAATTTAGTTGAAAATTCAACAGAACATTCTTAAAAGCTTCAACTTTCGATTGCTACCATAAAAATCGCAAGGTCAACGATAAAATTATTGAAAAAGAAACGTTATAAATATAGGTAAGTATGTTTCGAGACTTAAAGTGGCACATGAACATTTTTGATAATTATAAATTTAGTTGAAAATTTAACAGAACATTCTTAAAAGCTTCAACTTTCGATTGCTACTAAAGAAATCGCAAGGTGAACGATAAAATGGTTGAAAAAGAAACGTTATAAATATAGGTAAGTATGCTTCGAGACAAGCTGGCACATGCAAATTTTTGATAATTATAAATTTAGTTGAAAATTTAACAGAACATTCTTAACAGCTTCAACTTTCGATTGCTACCATAAAAATCGCAAGGTCAACAATAAATGATTGAAAAAGAAACGTTATAATAATTTCTTTTTCACGCGAGCCTTATGGAACTGTAGTTGATACTGAGTTAATCATGTCTTATCCAGTTACAAAAATGACATTTTCATAAAAAATTAGGTGGTTATAGATTGTTTACGGAGATTATGATGGCACAGAAAAAGATATGTTAATGATGAAATAAAACGAAAAATGAAGATCAAAGTATGCGGCAACGTCGCTTGTTTTCCTTTGGTTTGTTCGACGAACTTTCCAATTTTTTCTTAGAAATAAAAATAAATAATTTTTGTTGCAGTAAGGAAAAAAATCTTTGTTCTACTTATTTGTAAATTTTTTTTCCAATTAAGTATTTTGAAGTAGTTTAAAATATTAATTATCCAAATTAAATTGGTAAAATTGATAGAAGTTATAAAGCGTTATACGGAACTCCAGCTAGATACGACAAAAAACACGGCAGTTACCTTAAGGGGTTACATACCTTTGATCTGTTAAATAAGAGGGAAAATTATAAACATTTCTTGTATATGCAGAATTATTCGTTATTAAACATTCAACATATACATCCTGTTATATGTTATTTCCTTAGTAATTTCTGAAAAATTAATGTCTATATCTATTAACAGAAGAAAATGGCTGCCATTTGAAAGCGTTTAACTCGAAATGCAGTTTTTAAAATCGGTACCAGAAATATTTAAAAGACTACTGAGTCAATTTGGATGATACTTCGTGGTAATATTCTTAAGACTCAAAAATCTAGTAGTTCACGATACGAATGTTTGATTCGTGCATTTTTTCTTTTTTTAGTAACAAAAGAAGTTGCATAATTATGTCGGAAACTACAAGCTTAAGTTCAAACAGCTGCCATTTTGTTAAATACTGATATTTTTCAAATCTACATCGGTAAGTACCTATTAGTTTCTTTTGTCTATTTTAATATAAAATTAAAAAAAACTTGACGACTGTGTAGGTACTGATTGCAGAAGGCGATATTCTGGAGAAGATTCTTGGAACCACTTTTATATTTCGATAGCTGCGTAAGTAAGTAATGATTTTAACGAAAACTACATAATACGTACGGTTAAAGGAAGACACCATAATGTATTAATCAGATGCATTTCTCACGAATTCAGGATCATCTTCGAGTCTTTAAACGGAAATACAATTATAATGATTATAGTTGCATATATTGTATTAAATGACTTTCAAACGAATTTCACCAATAAATTAAATTCTTCTGTTTATTGTTCCACTGCGAGTTTCTTAAATTGTTACATATTTCGAGTATCAGTCGAAGTTCAGTGTGTTTATTCGTAGAATTCTAGATTGTCTGGCAGAATAATTTATGTTAGAATTGTTGTTGCAAAAGTAACGAAAAAAGATTATATTGAATTAATTATGAATTTTTATCTGGGGACGTCGGTCCACATGCGTAAGTATACCGTTTCCTCTATATTTTCACTTCCTCCGTTACACTTCTTAATCCGACGAATAAGATACACATATTATACGGAGTTATTATATTCCGTGGCTTCCATTATAAAAGCATCTGTCGCTTCGCCGAACTGAATCGACGAAACCGAGAAAGTCTGTCGGTGTGTTCTGTGTAAACGAGACAAAGACTGGAAAATCGGTAATTGGAAATAAATTTTCAGCGTGGAGTGCAACGTCAGTGTTGGAAGCAGCGTTTGAAAATTCTAAATGATCTCGTCCCGCAAAATGTAAGATGCTCGTAATTTTTGTTGCCCATAAAAAATATTTATTAATCTTAATATTTTATTTTCCAGGCACTCACAACATGTAAGATGTGTTGAAATTTTTAATAATTAACATCTTCTTTCTCATCAGAATCTAACAACAAAGAAAAGTCTGAACTTTACTGAACAAGAAAAGACTGAAACATTACTTTGTCATTATAGCGTAACATTATAATAGAACAAAATGAATTATACAAATATATTATTTTTATATTATATATTTACATATGTTGTATAAATAAGTCACATTTGTTGTAGTCTACGCACTTGCACTTACATACACATTAATTCGGCACTCTGTTCATAATTAAATTGCCAATCTTATGTACTTCTGACTAGACTGCGGGGTTTATGCATGTATTTAAAAATTTTTAGCCAATAAATGTTATTATTTATTTAATTAATATAATTAATCCAGTCAAACAAATTTCCTACTTACAGCGTTTACTAACTTGACAAATTCGATAAAATAGAGTCTTTTTTATAATGTTTAACACTATCTGTGTGTTATCATTAACGTACTAAAGTATCTTGTACAGAATTCAAAATTCAGTCCCATTTAAGGGTTCATTCTACATTGACGGCCGAAAAATGAAGCTATATTTAACTATTAATTCCTTAATAAATACAATATTTAATGAATATATATTGAAAACCTTCAATATACCTATCTCTATTTAATTTCGGTTTTCACAACGTATTCTACAGGAACACACACAGCCTCATTATAAAACACGGAAAATGGGCTTCGTTTCCTAATTAAGACTCCATCTAACGAAACCGTCCCACGTGCCCGGCCAATCGTTTCCTTTCTCTTTAAATACAACCTTCACCCTTCAAATATCGTCCTCGATTAACTCGTCGCGGGGCTCTCTACTCGCTGGCCGGGAATTTAAATCAACAGGTAGGTACACTCCTTTCCCCTTGACTTCCGTGTTATCTACATCAACAAGGTACACCTTCCCTTCAGGAAGTGTCCAGCTTCTGTGCACGCGTGGAGATAAGGCCGGACAGGAAAAGGGAAGAAGGAAAAAGCGAGGCGGCGAGGCGGCACGCTTCAGCCGGGGTAAGTAGTGGTACCGGCGAAGAAGAGGAGAGGGTAGCTGCAGAAGGAGCACGGATGGGCCCACCAGGTGCACCTATAGAATGGACATAAAACGAAACGTGAACCATATGTTGATGTGCTGAAGGACGGACGGCACGCGCCACACTCAACCTCCAACCTTTACGCCGCGAGGATCGGTGACTTCTTTTGCTATTGTTGCTGTCCGCCGAGTCGATGACATGATCTTCTCGGTGTTCAGTTTTGCTTGTGGTAACATGATCTACTCACGATTCGATTAGAAATGAACGAGTTTGTGATGGGAATATTAAAAACATTTCGTGTTATATAATTGACACTACTACCATCCGCGTGTATGGCAACTAGGTTAGAGGATCGAGAAGGGAAGCTTTCTTCGCCCTGTTGGTTTGTCAGTTTGGGATAAGTGGTGTCGAGTTACGACAGTGTCGTCGAGTCGTGCTGCTTGGATATGGTTTGATAAGTAGTGTTGCACAACCATCTATGAAGAAAGTTGAAGAATTATTTGAGAAATCTCTTTGGGAACGCGAGTTGTTGTCAATGCTCGATCGTTTCAGTCAATGGTGATCGGAAGGAACTTTAAATAGAACAAGGAAATTGTCGAAGAGCAATTACGAGGATTGGAAAGTTTCTATATTCAACGATAAGAAGTATTCAGAGGAATATAATATTTGATGAAGCCTTAAATGAATTATGGCTTTGATGACCAATCACCAGGATTACCCTGTGACCACCGAAATGATAACGACCAATTACTCCGGCACAAGAACGTACGATTCCTTGTATCCTTCGCCGTACAATTCCCCGAACTACGATCCTCTGAAAGCCTCGTACGGCGAGAGCTACGGGCACAAAGGTGAGCACACGCCGCGAAGAGAGTCCGAACCCATCAATTACGGAAATGAGGTGGTTACAAAGTATTCAAGAACACCGGACTTCTATGACAGAAGTTCATTCGGTGTACTGACACCGATGACGCCTCAAAGGTGAGCTCGAAATCTCGATAGTTAACTTTTTCTATTCTTGCCCACCCGTGTTTCAACGTGTAACACATATTTTCTCGTCTTTTGTCCGATGTTTCGCGCACAATGAGCTTGCATGCACGAAATTGTAACCGTGAACATTATATTTGTTACAAGAGACAGACAACGAAATTCCTCGTAATCCTGGATATTAAGCACAATTTTGGGGTAGAGATGTTCATGAGGCCCGAATTCGATTTCAACAGGTACGAACCGCAGCACGCGATAAGTCACATCGTTTCACGGCGATCGATGCTGCACGAGGAGAACTCCGAGGAATACATCGTGCCAGATTATTGCTACGAGACGCCGCCACAGGAACAGAAGTTCCAGATCCTCGAGAATGGCGAACCGATGCAGATGATGGTCGAGCCGCGAAGAAGCTGTTGGGAACCTGTTACGTCCGCACAGGTGAGTTAGCGAATAATTGGATTATAGGGTTAAAGGGGTACTCTAGTGTAGACCTTTCAAAAAGTCGAGTTATGTGGTGCATTCTATAAAAGTATACGTTCTCGAAAATATGTCTCCAGAAGGATTTGCCTGAATTCGTAAAATTAACGAAATTGTACACCTTTTAAAGAGAACGGCACACATACCGCTGTGTGCAACGCACGACGCTTCGAATACGTTTTATTTTCGAAACTGTATTTTTTGAAGTGGTTGACACGATATCTCAAGCTCTAATTGACCGATTGACTTCATTTTGTGTGTTCATCGTCGCACACGTGGTACATAATGACTTATTTTTTCAAATCAGTTTACAGGCCGTAATTTTCGAGTAAATTTGAAGCTCTTTTCTTTTCAATTCTTCGTAATGAAATTCTTTATCGATCTGTCTAGCATAAATTTGCAATTCCATTGCTCATTTCTTTATATTTAGCGAAACATACAGACTTTTCAGGCGATCGGTATCGGTGAACTTTTTTGGTCGCTATTTACGAATTTAAAGTCAGATTTTCGAAATTCAAAATGATGAATCCAATGTGGCAAAGCGAAATTTCAGAAAATGAGCTTATTTACTGATTACGAATATGTGGTATTTATTGTAGAAATCAAATATTTTATTTCTACCTCAAGTCTAATGTTGTAATTAAAATTGAAAAATTCAAAATGGCGGATGGAAATTCGTATTTTTACAATTTTTTACTCATCTCATAAATGTGCAGATGATCTTGCATGTTTAAGCGCCTTCGTCTGTGTTCATACGCGTTCTTATAGATGATTTCTCTGATATTTTTGAAAGACTTAATTCATTTGATGTTTTATGCTAGTTGCCTTTAGTAATCTTATTTTGTTATATTAATTTTTTGTATGATTAGAGTTTAAGCTTTTGGAAGTAAATCCTTGATATTATGTTATCTACCACAATCATTTTTAGGAATTTAAACAAAAAATATTTTAGAGATATGTTTTTAAGGCTACAAACTACTAAAAATTGTACAAAATTTTCCTTTTTTTACCGATATAATTTACCCCGATTTTGGGCGGTTTTGTTCAGGCAAAGACTAGGGGATGGGAATGAAAAGTCTTTTCTAATATTTCAGGATATCTGTGCATGAATTCGATCCATAGCACATGCACGTTTCGTATGAGATAAAATATTGTTTGCGAGAATGTCGGATTGCCGGACCGATGCCGGTAGATGTTCGTGCTGATACAGTACGGCAGTACGGTGTTATATGCACCTATAGATGAAGGAAACTCATTATCATACACTTTTATATAATACCCTGTAATTTAATGAAAAATTCGGTTAGGTATTTTGCTATTACATGAAGTTACACGGAAATATGTTAAGTGCCGATATGTTTATACAAAAAGAAAATATGTTTACATAAAAGTAGAAAAATTCTTGTATTAATATTTCTTGTCATTTTTGGTAAGTGCAAAAACCGATGATTAGCACTGTATATGCGGTATTAGGGAATACGTATATATTAATGGGTAATCGACATTTGGTCATTTAACATTGTTCTACTAAATTATCGTACCAAACAAGAATCATTAAGATAAACCATCTTGTTTGATTCGTTGTTTTATGTTCTACGTTCTGCTACAGCAGCCATATATGTTGTTGTACGGGGAAATAGTTAACTGAATAAGTTAAAGGTGTTGCCACAATCTCGCATAATACAAAATTAGGGTATGGTTGGTATGCGATATTGGGAAACTTTGTACCTGTAGATTATAAAAGCAAACGTTAACTTTCAACCCAAAAAATTAAAATTTTATCTATACAAACAATAGTCTAGGTTCCATACATTGAAAGCGATATGATGAATGATAATCGAAAGTTTATACAATAAAACCTTAATGAGTGTTCGAAGGCTCCTCGGTGCTGACAAGGAGTTAACACAGTAATTGTTTCAGTCGCATATGGCCATTAGTTTATGAAATATTTAATGTTCAGTGCCGAGGAGCCTTCGAATACTTATCGAGGATTTAATGTATCCCCTTTTAGACAAAACACAATTTTTGGTAACATGCAAGTGATGCAAGGCTGTTCCTGGCAGGGGTGCGGAAGGTTTCCCCGCCAGGGCGACCAAACTCAGGGGCGGCCGCAGATCGTTTATTATATGTAAAACTTGGACTAGCAAGAATAATAATCAAAAGTTTTCCTATATTTATGAACATTTTAGACTGACAAAATTTAATCAAATTAATTGCATATGTAATTTTTGTAATAGTACTCGTATAGGTACTGGAAGGAACTATCTTTATGGACAGCCTAACATAGCATATGACATTTAACCATATTTAGTGGATTAAATTCCTGCAGGTAATTAATAGTCGCTATTTATCAACTATAACATCATTATTACAAACACTATGCGTTAGTTTCGTACTTATATCTGGAATAAAATATTCATTTCAAATAAAACAACAATCCAAGAACGGCCCTGGTAACATGTGTACAAAATTTGATGAACATGTAAATTTACTATCCAGACTAAAACCCATCTGGTGTTCAAAGGAGGCATTGTTGTTTGCTTTTTATATAAAAATCTACTCCAAGATGTCATTACTTCATGGTTTACAGCTGTTGATATAGTTTTGGCAGAAGTCCCGTATGCCATATTAGGAAACTGTATGAAAATAGAGTCCTTTCCAACATTCAAAATACGTTAAGGAATATTTATCCAACGGATAATACAAACCAACTCGTGTAACATCGTACGAAATTAAAATGAAGCTTTTTTGACTGTTTTTAGAAACAAATAACGCCCACTAATAGCCCCCGACGAGGCAGACGACGATCGAGAGACGTTCCACCGTCGCCGAGCGTCCTGAAACGTCGACGCCTTGCCGCGAACGCGCGCGAACGGCGTCGTATGAATGGCTTGAACGACGCCTTCGATAAATTGAGGGAGGTTGTGCCAAGTCTGGGCGCCGATCACAAGCTCAGTAAGTTTGAGACGTTGCAAATGGCGCAAACGTATATCGCGGCGTTGTGCGATCTTCTGCAAAGACACGATGGAAAGTGGCAATGACAGTACAGCGAGGAAGAATGGCAATGGTAGGTAGGGATAAACCGATACCAAGGTATCGATACTTTTACTCATAACTTGTATCGAAAAAAAGTATCGTTACCTATTTGTATCGAAGGAAAATGAGTACAAAGTTCTTTTTCATTAATATAATATATTTTAACCAAATTTGAGCAGAATTTTATGCGAATAATACATAGTGAAAAACTGCAGTGTTTAGATACTCTTAGGAGTTGTCATCTTGAACATTAAACAGTTATCGTGATTGAATAATTGTTTGCCAAATGTCGACTTATTCAGGAAGAAGTATTATTTTGTTATAAAAATTGGAATTTCCATGTTTAAACGATTAAAAATAGCGAGGTAAACCGAAACTCTTTATCTAGACAATGAATTTGCCCATCCCTGATTTAACGAAGATATATTTTATTAGTAAACATTTAATAACAAGGTTTTGTAACTGGACGACAACCACCTTCACATTCATTAGCTTTCATATCGATTACTCGCTCCATTCGATATGATTAGGTTTGTTCGATACCGAGTAATCACAACCGAAAGTATCGATAATAAAAATACTCGATGTCGAAAGGAAAGTATCGATTATGTACTTGTATTTAATTGGATCGGTTCATCCCTAATTGCAGGGTAAAATTATTTTCTGTTAATTTAACTGGCGAATATATTAGGTCTGTGCATATAAAATGCGTAGGATAACTTTTCAGTGAGACTTGATTTCCATTGAACTGTAAATGAATTTTATTAGGAATATAAACGTTTGAATTTTTAAATCTAAACCTTTGGAATTTGAAGATAACAGAAGATAATAGTATTAGTTGTTGTTTTTTTTAGTTAACCTTTTCAGTAACAAGATTTCCAATGATGTGGATGTACTATACGCTTACTTATTGCGATAAAACCTGCGCTGAGCTGAATTATTTTTCATTTTTGGGTTTTTTAAGTTTAAATGCTAATGCTTTTTCATAATATGGGTTCATAGTGCGCGTTGAATGGTTGCACGCGGCACATAAATGGATTCACAGGACGTGGCGAATAATTTTTCGAAACTCATGTATGGATTCATAGCGCTGAAAAAGTTAAGTAATTCATTTGCTAAAAAATAGACTCTATCAAATTTTTAAATGATATTGAAGTATTTTGATGAAGTTATATGGAAACGAAACGAAGGTTTATGAAAATTATCTTCTGACTCCAAATTTTCAAGAGTAAAGAATGTAAGGATTTCGGTTCAGTTTAATAAAAATCTACTAACCATTTTAATTTAAAACAAAAAATTTTTTTTAATGTTTCAAATGTAGTCCCGGGCATTGTCAATAATCTTGAATCACAAATCTGTATATCAATCAGTAAAAACCGCCTTTTCTATGCGCCAACCTAATATTTTTCGAACAAGATTTATTTTATTTATCATGTTCTCTACTTTAACTAGAGGAACTCATTGTATATTATGTTTCTATGTCAGTGGTATAGTTGAATAGAAATTAAGTTCTTTTTTCTTATGAATATATGTACATATAAACAAAGACTCAGTTATTTGTTCACTGTAGTGACTCATACAATTTAGAATAATTATGATCAGAATGATTCTGCAATTCATAAATAGTAGAAATTGTTATATTATCTCTACCTTTTAATTCCTGTTACGCTTATGTGTCACATTGTCTTAATCACTATTTCATCAAGCTGTAGTATTCAAAATAAGACTGTGCGTATCGTTTAGGCATATAAACACCTTCTATGTAGTATAATTTAGTAGACGAATTTCAAATGTAAAAGGTTTAATGCTTAAGGTTATTTTTAATCACTCTTCGATCGATTGCTTTTTTTGAGATCAAGTTCACGTTATAAATATTTTTCTTTTTCAATAAAATATTTTCTCGACTATAGTTACATGAAACAAAATTAAGAAGATATCTGTAGTGTGATATATAAGCTATCCACTTGCTAAAATGATTAACTTCACGAAAATTATCAAGGAAATTTATTTTAAATGAAATAAGTTACGTACCAATCAAATGCTTTGGCACTAAAATTTGAAATTTTTAAAACTGGTGTTCGCTTGTGAACGGTTTATTTCTTAATATTCAGTGACTTGTCTTGCATTTCTATTAAAACGCAGGATTTATTGTCACGAAGATTATGTTTATACTTGTCCGCTGTCTAGTTATAAGGAACCGACGAAACAGAACGAAAACGCAGGATACTAGAAACAAACGTTGAATATATGTGTAGGTACAAAAATGATTTGCAAATTTAACGTAAACACAACGAAATTATATTCACCTTAGGAATGTTATTTGGAGTAAGATAATTGACGAATATTTACCGTAACATATAACTAAAACTGGAGCGCTAAATCTCGAAGCACAAATAATAACAATTATGGTTTTACTTTCATTATTCAAGTTTCGTTTTTTATTTCGTTTCTATAAGTTTGTGTTGTGCGTGTGAGTTGAAATGAATACCGATTTGCGTGTGGATTTTTTGTAATTATTATTTAATATTGTTAATTGTACATGATCACTGAAAAAACGGCTAATGATCCAAAGATTGAAGATATATTCGATAATAATAGACGTAATTGAACTAGCACGTTGAATTATTCTTAAATAAGCGGGAATTCTCATATTATATATTTATTGACATCGCGACAATGCGTGTTATTGTTAACTTTTATGTATAGTACCTACGAAGTTTTATTAATTCATATATAAGTGGCTTCTTTATCGAAAAATCGACGGAACGCGTAATAAGCGTTAGAAGCAGTGTAAAAATTGAGTGCCATTATTATAATAATTATTTATATTTTTTCTATGAATAATGAGCGCTTTGTGTTAAGTTTGAGAGGAGAATTGTGGGGTATTGTTTACTCGAGATTTAGTACTTTGTAAAATTACTTTCACGTTGTAGGTAATATCGATTTACTCTGAACACTTTAACACCCGGTGACGCGTTAAGTCGAACACTAAATATATATACGGTAATGTGGAGTTATAAAATGCAACAATTTAATGGCACATATTAAATTTATAATTATATCGTATATATTTTTTAAATTGATTCATTTTCAGCAAATGGAAGAAAAATAATTTTCACCAAATGATTTCATAACACGTAAGGTATTTAGCGTATTTCACACCACAGAATCGACGGGTGCTTAAGTGTTAATTTTAATGTACGCTGTAACTAGTCAGGAAATTCGTAAATTAAGCTAAGAAGCTTAAAGTAACCATTTCGCGCCGTCCATTCATAAAATGTAACACGAGGCCAAAGAAGATATAGATATGTATAATAACTTGTGACTATATTCTTAGTGTCTCGGTGTGATTATCATTTTATAAGAAATCTTAAAACGTTGATGCCAATGTACCCTTGTAGAATATTGTAAATAAAGTATACTTTATATACTATAATAAAAAATCAATCATATCTCATAATCCACTTACACAATCCTTAAAATTATATCCTTTGTAGTTCATTAATGAGCGTGATTAAGAATAATAATATACGCTATCGAATTTACTTTATTTTGGCTATTCAAATATTTACTGACGCCTCTCATGAACTTTAAGTTGGACAGATACACTAAATGTACGTTCATTTGAATACTGGCGTTTAAATACTACGTTTGAAAACAATTACTCGATTATAAAAGTGTTTTATACGTTAGATATTGAGTATTTAACTCAGACATTGTATGAAAATGATCAAAGAATTAGTAGAGTCAATATTTTCCAATTATATGTCTTCTATGACTGTTAACATCTGGTATATCAACGAAAATTAGCAAATAATTCCACATTTTTTGCCGATAGTGTATATTTCGTAATAACCAAATAAGAATTTCTTTATATAGCCAAATTCTGAAAACTTCCTGCGGAGTTTTTTTAAAGGAGGTGTAAAATTTTCAGAAAAATACACAATAGGTGAAATTTTCCAGTATTTCGGAAGGTGTTCATGAAGGTTTTCAAATATCAAACACTTCGGCATGGCGGCGAACCGTGGAGGACGCCGAGATGGAAGGACGGAGTGACAGTGATAGGTAACCCTTTTCCATTCGCCAAATTGGCAAGAACTAGGGAAAAAAAATGCCTGGACTCGGGAAGCGTGGGCGGACAGCGGCACGTGCCGGCACAATGGAGCTCGTTAGCGGTTTCGTGTGATTTTCTTGTTTCTCTCTTTCATCGAACGGAGATCCACCTTTCTGTCGTAAATAAGGATTCCTTTCAATTCCAGATGTCCGATAATTAATGATCATTAATTACATGGCCGGACTGTATACTGCGTCCGATATCCTGGATGGAAAGTTAAACGAGACCGAAAGATTTCTGGCTCCGATATTGTACTAAATGATCGTGTACATTCTTGCGGACTTTGTTGTCCGATGTTGAAGTACTATCGATCTTTTAGTTGATTGAATGATTCAACACTATTGTACATGAAAACTACTCAACAACCCATGGTAAGTTAAATTACGTTATAAGTAGACTGCAAATTTGGATGCAAAATGACATTCGAGCGTCATTGTTTTATGGAAACAGTAAATACTTATGTTATGAATTGTTGTTTAGAACAAAAATTTATGCAATTGTTTAAAATAAAATTAAAATTGAGCTCTTGGAAAAGATTTTGAAAATAGAAGGAATAAACTTTACAAACACTTGTGATCTGCTTGGAGAAGCTATTATGTCAATCCCACTGTCTGGTGAACCGAAAATTTATTAGTATTTTAAAAATCTAGTTATTAGAACACAATTTCTATTGGTAACACATTTATTGTAAAAGAATGATTATGTATTTCATTAAATTATTTTGAAATTGTAATTAAAATTACTAACAGTTTTCTTTTTTAGTGTAAACCCCATAAAAACTTTTGTATTGGCTCAATAATTTACAAAGACGGGAGCAAGTGTACGAATTTTATTCTTCACTTCACGATTTTTTTGGATTGTGAATAAACAAGTGGCCAAAAACCAGAGAGT